CAATTTGAAAATATGTTGTGGGCTTAGTCTGAAGACACTAGGAATATACTAAGAATTTATGCTGCAGTACGTAAAAAACAATTCTACAGCCAGTTTTTGGGTTTTAATTGAAACCGATTATTTTATTCAGGAACTGCCTGATGACAATACTAGTGAGCTAGGGAATTGCAGCAATGGTTTTTGTAGCTCCGACTTTGGATATTGAAACCATGCCCATTGTTTTTGTCGAAATGGGAATGGGATAGTGATGATAATAGCACTATTCGAGTCCAAGAAATGGCAAAGCAAACTATGTGGACCAAACGTGCGATGCATTGTTTTCAAAATCTAAACTATTTGATGCGATATCTGGAACGGTAAATGAAATTGGAGCTGAAACACTCGCTGATATGTTTTTACATATTCTTCTGGAAAGTCTTTTGAATTCCATGGCATTACAGACAAATTTCTATGCCCTGTGTATTTGGTACCTACAAATCTGAAAGAGTTAAAAGTCTTCATTGCTATCAGCTTGATAATAGGTGTTCAAAATTACCAAGTACTAGAGACACCTTTATAAGTTCTGCAATGTCAAGAAATAGATTTACTTGAATGCTGAATAATAATGAATACTCATTATAGCCAAACAGAAATGCGTATAATTTTTATTGCATATTGTATAAATTGAGGCTGTTACTGAATAAATTATTCAAAACCTTTATAAGCTCAATGAAACAGAGCCATATCATATATAGACAAATCAATGATACGCTTAAAAGTTAGTTGCCTGAAACAAAATGTCCAAAAAAATCATAAAAAGAGAAAAGTGTGGCCTGATGAGTTATGCTGCGTGTGTGAATTTAGATTTAAAAACAACAACGTGCTAAAAATGAATAATAAACCTCTTTACTTTCTGAGCACCTACCTAGATCCCACTGCGATTGAAACTGTGACCCGAAAAAAGAAAGATGGAATCAATCCAGAAGTTGTTTGTTTTGCGCTAGCTAAAAAAATGTAATCAATACATGGGCTATCTTGATAAAAGTGGATATGCTGAAATGTTTGTATGAATTATTCTATTTTATTGATTTTATCGTTGATAAATACTTTTTTTGTTATTCACTTTCTGTTGCATTAGGGCTAATGACAGATTGTTTTGCAGTTTATCAGTTATTTTTAGTTATAGTTTGAAATATTAATGTTATTTTTGCAAAATAGAAAGTTTTCTTTTACAGCCCAAGTTTTCTAGTGTCCCATGATGAAAATATCAGCAAAAAAGTAAATTTGGAAATTTAAAACAAAATTCAAAAATATGTTCCAGGTGGGAGTACTAAAATATAGTAATACAATTTTTTTATTTGTATTTTAGAACATTAATGCAGGCATCAAAGGGTTAATTGTAATTATTAAATTAGTCTTGATAATAAATTGTATTATTATTGATCACGATGTGCTATTTTTTTATATCTAGGTTTGTCTTCAAGATAAAAATAAAAAATCGTTGGTCTTAATGTCCTGGATTTTCGGAAGAAATCGAATTTTTATTTATTTACTTCAAAAAATATAGAAATGATTTTCATAAAACTGCGCATGAGAAACTTTATTTATTGTAGTCAAATAATTTAAATTAAGTTTAAATTAAGCAATTGTAATTGTTTCTTCAATTGTTGCATATCCCAAGGATACTTTAATTTACGCAATTTGAAATGAAACTATATTCGTGGGATTCCCTTAATTTAAGAGCGTATTCGGCAGTCTAAGGGTGAAAATCACTTTCAGTAATTTTTATCGAAAAAATTATCAGAGTGAATGTTAATAACTGCATGCATCATTCCATTTTAAAGTTTTTAAGGCTCCTTCAATGCGAACATGTGTGAATTGAAAATCATTAATGTCCCACCCTAAATGAAAATGCGGATTTTCTTTCTTTTTAAACGAAATTAAATACGAAACAACTGACAAGACACAAATTTGATATTTTAAATGTTTGTTCTAAAAAACTTATTAAATCACCCAAGATTTTACCTGTAAATATCAAGCAGATCACCCTCTCAAAATCCCAAAACCAAAAATCAAGCGCGCCAAGTTTTGTCAAAATATGCCAAAAAGGATTGATAACAAGTCTTGTTTGTCTAAAAATCTTGACACCCTGTATTTCGAAAACAAAACAAGTTAGGACACGTTGATATGAAAAAAAAAGATTTAATATCACTGATAAATATGACCTGAATTGCATTGAATACGTCGTTTTTCAATCAATTTTAATCAATTGCCAATTTAAAGGATAAAAACATCCTGAGCACATATTAAACTACGTATAATTTTGAAAATTATTTTAGAATTTGCTTTTTATTTTACATTTTCGCGTGTTTTTCCCGAATTTTGATAGCATCAAGGTTTGAAAAATTTGAGTGATATAGAGCGTGTCTCACTTAAGAACAGTAGTCCCTTATAAAATCTTTGTTTATGGATCGATTTTGATAATTTTTTGTTGTTGGATAGATTTCTCAAAAAAACACTAAAACCTTTTGTTTCTTATTACATCAGCCTGGGACTAACTTTTGATGTCAAATATCAAGAAGGGCTTTTATGGATTTCTTTAAGAATAAAGTGTCCACGAATTCTTAGTTAGAAGTACATATAACCATGAAATTCGAGTACAGGGTGATTCACTTTAGCATTACTCCTGTAGAAATATTAATTTATTTTGAATTTTGATAATTCGTTTTTTATTGGATAGATTTCACTGAAAGAGACACTAACGATTTTCTTAAAATTAGATATGATTAGATATGAAACTAAACACTATTCAATGCTGTGTTTTTTAATTAAAAAGGATTTTTAATTCTCATCTAATAATGAAAACAACAGAAATATCAAAATTGATTGACGTAGGCATACTGCTTATATGGTTTTGAGAGACAAATAATATTCGACTGTCAATTTAACTGCCTGATTTATATTTTAATTTTGTTTAGAAAATACCTATGGTCAACTTATCTTTGGGCGAAAAAGTGGTAATTGTGGGTTAGTTGATGGTGGTTCCTTGAAACTGCTGCACAGTTTAATAGAAGATATGCTGGCCGAAATATTAATCACAGTAAAATTGCGATTATCAATAGACATCTTGATCAGAACAGTACTGTCAATAAACTCGCCAGTCAGCATCGCAATCGTTTTTCTTCGTTTAAGTCAAAAAATTCCTTACTTTAATGAAAATCCCATTATTAGGAAAGCAAGAGTGAACTTAAATGTTTCCAAAAACTGCAGTTGAACAGTTGGAAAATGTGGAAAAAAGGTCTCTAAACCCAAATTCGAATGAGGAGTGGTGCAAGAAACAGTATTCTAGGCGAACGTCTGGTGTGGAATTTTAAACGGAAAAATAATCGGAGGGGGACGGGATCACTTTTCTCCGATTTTTAGAAAATGTACTAAGTAGTGAAACTGATGAATTGCTTCTCGATGAACGGTACATTTTCTATTTGTACCTTGATGATGCTCCTATGCATAACTAGCTAGGTTAAACCAAAATTTTCTTAATCGTTGGATTGAACGAAACAGTCCTTTAATCTGCTGGTCACCGCGATCCCCAGACATTAAAAGGTAAAGTTTATTGATCACGGCCATAAACAAAAGAAAACCTTTGTATTCGAATTAGAGAAGCTTGTCGTAGCATCACTAGACAAGAGCTGAGAAAAGTAGTTAGCAACAATCAAAGGCGCATTGAAAAGTGATCAAGAAAAATGGTGACCTAATTGAAATAACTTTCCTTAATTTAATTGATATGTTAAAACGAATGCTAAAAAGTCTTGAGTGTCGGAAATCGATTTTTCGTCTTTTCGGTAGACCTATCAACTTCATATCATTAAATGTGGTCCTTGTTTTTTGTTAATATTACTTTAAATTTCCAACAAAGAAACTTTATCGATTTGCATAAATAAAAAACTGCAAACAAACGAATTTTTGAACAATTCGAGCTTATTCAAATATCTCGGGCACCCTTCCGAATTCCATCATTCATTGCTTAGTCGTTTAAGAAAATTAGTAGGTATCTACATTATATCTTTCGAATACTAATATTTATTAATGTTCTTGTTTTAAGATGAACCTAAAAAACAAAGGCCCCTTAAAATAATTTCAAGTCTTTTTTATTATTTTTGAAATTTGCAAGAACTTAAAATCACATACAAATTAATCGTTATATACAATGGTTACAATATTAATTTTTTTAAAACATTAAGAACTTTGGTCATTGGTCTAGTTAATTTTAAGAAGTCCTGAACGCAAATCTGTTGCCATTTTCAATTTAAAAAAATCTCTAACAATGCTTCACGATTTTCCGTTTCAAAAAACTGGCATGACTTTAGTCGATGCTATATGATCTATCTAGTAAGATCTATCCAACAAAAAACAATTATCCGGCGATATTCGAGCACCCTGTATTTAAACTTCATGGAAATTAGTGTAGTTAGGTTTTATGTACTCCTGAATAAGAATTTATTGCCACTGTACTCTTAGAAGTCCCTAATAGCTCGTCTCGATATTTGACACCATAAATTGGCAATGACTTCAGGTTGATGAAATAACAAACACAAATTATCAAAATCAAACAGTAAGCAAAGGTTTTACAAAGATGAACGACCTTAAGCGGAGCGCAGACAATATTTAAAAAACTCTACATCGAAACATAGAAATTGGTATAGTTGGGTTCCAAGTACTCCTGAATAAGAATTCGTTATCAATTTTTTTCTTTTCCGCGTTTGTTAAATAGTCTGTTGCCCATGACTTGTTGAAGCAAAAAGCTAATAAATGATATCGATAAAAGAAAATGATGATAAATACAATAAAAAAATATCTTACTTACCTTTTGACCGACCTTGTGTTTTAGCTGGCCTAGGTCCGCATTTTTCGATTAAATTCGTGCATCGGAAAAACAAAAAAATGAAACAAAAGAATAATGAAATGTATTTATTTGCATTATTTGAAAAATTAACACAATAACATTCAGACGATCTGCAACATTATCTTGAAAAAATTTACAGAAAATAGTCAACCTAGATTTTCAACTGTCTTGCGGTCTCAGTCTTAACAAATAATACATCCATCGTCTAACTAAAAAAATGAAACATTCAGGGCGTGCCAAATATACCACAATAACATCCTTCGACGGCGAAAATAATTCACAATATACACCTATAATATTAAAATACTTATGTCAACAAAACAATCAATTCTAACTTGTATGTGGTAACAGTCTTCACTAGGAAAATTTTCCAAAAAAATTTCATACAATTCACTCCCGCGCTTTGGAAAAGGTTTTCCTACAAACCTAACAAATAAAGTGATCATTTCCCGAATCATGTCGAATTGCACTATAATATAATATGATAACGAATATGCCCGACGAAAAGTTGGATAATTTTTATAAAAAGTGTATTCAAGATTTCGTCGAAAATTTGGCATATAAAATTTTCTAATCCACCTTTCGATACATCAGATGGCCTAAAAATTAATTAAAAAAGAAAATTGGCACAGAATTCATAAAACTGAGGTAGTTAATTTACCTATATTTAACAAAAAAGATATATATATAAAACTATATACAACAATTCACAGTTTCGTAAAATGAAAACAACAGAAAAATGTACAAAGGAATGCGTTGTTTACTTTTATTGCAATGTCATTATTACTCTCCGGAAAGTCTAGGATTTTAGATATATTTCCGCGACGGGTGGCGATTCGATAAAATTCTGACGTAATCGATATGGCCGGATTACAAACGTCGCTTCAAAATTTTAACGGCGCCAAACGCGCAAACGCAAGAATATACATCGTTCTTTTTACATCATCATTTCGTTTCAAATAAAAATCAAATCTAAAATGTTTGTACATTGACATTTACTCTTATTTATATTAATTATAATCTGATATATATTTATATCTATTCTTATAACTGAGATTCTGAGGTATTGCTGTTTTTGTATATTGTTTAATAGGTCATTCGGAGTCTATATAAAAAATTACCGTTGAGCAATTCGTCTTACGCGTTTAAACTCTGTTATTCTGATCGTCACAATTTCATAGCAAAATGAATTACGCGGACAAAAATAGAATCATATGTACAACCATATCGAAAACAAATTTTCAGATGGAAACGGTGCCAATGAACGGGTACAAAATAAATAATATTTTACAAAATAAGCCTCACGACCTGATTGCACCGCTTTTACTCTGGGCCTTCCTCACGTGCGTCTCCATGTGCTTCATCATGTGATCTTTCCGGATGAAGCCTTTGCCGCAGGTCTCGCACACGTAAGGCTTCCGCCCCGTGTGACAGCACATGTGCCTCCTCAAATCGGTCTTGTGGTTAAACTGCTTCGGGCATACGTCACACTTGTGGGGCTTCTCTCCGGCGTGCTTGCTCGCGTGCTCCTTGTATATCTCCTCCGACGAGAACCTCTTGCCGCACCTGGTACATTTGAACGGCTTGTCGCCGTTGTGGCAGGTCTTGTTGTGCTGCGTCAAGTAGCAAGGCCTGTTGAAGACTTTGTCGCAATCGAAGCATTTCGTTTTGCCTTCTTTGCTGTTGACTGTCGACGATATCACCGGGCTGCCGCTCGTCTCCTCGTAATCCGGCTTCTTGGTCGGCTCCAGCGCCAACGGATCCTTCCTCATGAACTTTATGTCGTCCGGGTCGAAAGTAATGTTCATCTCGGGCTCCATCAGCGACAACTCGTCGTTGTTATTGTTGTTGTTGCTAGGCGACGAGTACATGTTATTTTCGTTGGTGGTCAGGACGGCGAGCTTGTAGGTATTCTCGTCGCGAAAAATCAACGATTTGGACTCGTCCATGTCGTTCTGTGCGTAAAAGTAAGGGGTCGTTGCCGTACCCCCGCCCCCCACGTTCGCTAAACCGTAGTTGATGACGCCGTACCGGTGCGCCTGGATCTGCGCGAAACTAGGCAACGGCTGGCTTTCCTGAACTACGACCGCACTGCCATCTATACTGAACTGGATCTCACCAGTAGTATTGTGGCTGCTGATAGCCGTAGCCTGCGTAACGTGGGGGGCCGACTCGTTTGGGTACATCTGAAACTGGTTGCCCTCCATTGGGGAAATCATAGGACCCGTCTGGTGGTGCGCCATCATGTTGAAACCATGAGGCGGCGGCGGGGCCATATTGTGAGGGGAACCGATCGACAGCAGGCCTCTCGAATCTAGACTGGTGTTGGGTGAGAGGCCTGCCTCCCCGTTTGGGGGACTGCCGTTCGGTATGCCGGGAAAATTCGAGTTCATGATCGGACTCGGGGTACCCAAAGGGCTCGGCGCCATCGGGGAATGCATCGGCGGCGTGTGATGCATACTCGGTTGCCGGTCGTATGGGCCGTTCGGTGGGTGTTGAAGCAACCCCGGCATCAGGTTGATCCTGTCGAATTGGGACGACATGTTGTTCGAATCTTCCCCCCTCGAGTCTTCCCTGGGACTACCAGACGTCGACCGATCTTCCTTGCTCGAAGACGCCTCCCGGGTGGGGTGGTGGTGCGCGCTGATCGGCATCGACGCCGGATCAGGCTGGCCGCTCGATTTGACCGCGTTCTTGTGCAACGTCGTGTTATAGTGGCGCTTCAGATGGCCGGAACTGGTGAACCACTTGTTGCAGGCGGTACAGTTGTACGTCTTTGGTCGTCGCGCCTCGTTCGATTTCCAGTTCGCGCTTTTGGTAGGCGGCGCTGCTGGCGCCGCGCCGCCCCCGTTCGCATTAGGAACTTGCGGGGTGCTCGAGATCACAGATGATGCTTGGGAAGGCTGCATGTGATCGAAGGGCCTATACGTCTGCTGGTTCTGACCCAGACCGTTGCCGATCTCTTGGTTGGTCGACGTCACGACCGCGTTGCTGTTGTAGTTGGGCGCGAACATTTTACCGTCGGGTATGTTCGGTAAACCCGGAAACAGTTTCGGTTCCGATTCGTTCATAAACACCCCGTGGTCGTTCTGGAACATGTTGCCCTGCGGCTGCGGCCACGAGTTCAACATAGCGGACACCGAGTGCGGGTTTTCGGACCTCTTCTCGTCCTCTTTACCGTCCACCCACACCGGGTGTACTACTTTGTGCGAGTCCAAATCTAGGATCTCGCTCTGGGAACCGTCCTCTTCGGTTTTGATGGACGGCTGCTGCTGGTGGTCGAACATGAAATGCTGAGGATATTGTTGAGGGGTCGAGGGGTGCGACAGGTTATTGTGCTCGATTAACTGAGCGGCCGATTCGCACACGTAACCGCACTTGTCGCACTGCTTGGGGCTGGGCGAAGGGGTCGGCTGCGGCGGGTACGCGGGACTCGAGGCGGGCACCTGTGCCTGGGGTTGTTGCGTCGAGTAAGGGTGATAGCGGAACGAGGTTTGACGCGCGCCGGACGCCTTGTTGACGTTCACCTCCTGCTGGTATTGCTGCTGCTGGTTCGAATCGACTCCGAAAAACTGCTGGTCCGCGTACGGGGAAAACGAATTTTGCTGGTAGTGGGAGGCGGGCGAGTGCGCCTCGCTTTTGATTTGGAAATTGGAAAAGTTCGGGGAGAACGCGGCGCTTTCGGGGTTCTGGTATGGCGACGACGCGCTCTGATAACTCTGCGGGGTGGGCGGGTGCCCGTAGATGTGATCGGGCGTTGCCCTATTATACTCCGGACTCTTCTTTTGCATTTCCGCGCCGTCCGAATTGTTCGAATTAAACTCACGTTTTATCATCGTCGTCGTCGTCGACTTCGTCATGTTGTTGTTGGTCTCGTCGGAGGAGTGCGAACCGCCCGCCTGGACCGCCCAATGCTTGAGCAGGTTCTCCTTGTGGTACTGCAGGTGAACGTCGAGGGACTCGGCCGAGTTGAACGACAGCCCGCATTCCTTGCACTGGTACGGCTGCTGGAACTGCTGCTGGATACCGCTGCCGCCGCTCGCCATCGCGCACTATTTCTAACAAGTTCGAAAAACGGAAAACGCCGGGGGAAACGAGGAAAAATGTCCAAAACGAAAAAGAAAACGACGGTCACGCGGCCGGTATCATAACATGACAGGCGTGTTCAATCCCGGCGGTCTGGAGTGACGGTTCGATTCATCGTTCGAGTCGGTGAAGGGACGCATCGTCGCGCGATCGGCCAAAAAAAATAAAGGAAGAAAAAAAAAAGAAAAAAAACGCCGACGCGGCGGCACTTTAGCCCATCGTCGCGGGACAGTCCAAAACCACGTCTATGGGACACCGCACCGCACACACTGACCGAGATTTGTTATCGTCTTTCGCCCGATATTTTGATACGTCTCTCTCGCTTCGTAAACGGCGTCGCTGCTCCGTGCGGTGCTCACTCGGGTTCAGTCGGCCACTGACTGATCTCGGGGATACTGTCGGACCTCTCATGGTTTTCGGGGGTCCGAAAACGTGCGTGTCGTTTCGCAAGTTCGCATAGGCCCGTCGTCGGTCCCCCGGCCAATGGCGAAGCCCCGGTTAATGCGTTCGGCCTGGCGGCGGTGGGGGTCGAGGGGGTGTCGGTCTCCGTGGTGGAGGGGGCTCTTCGTAAGATGCTGCATTTTTGAACATAGAAAACTCGGTGCTCGCGAGGATTATGACGCTTACGCTAGCCGGGATTAAGGGAGGGGTAGGGGGTGCGTTCCACGAAACCTGGACCGGAGAAAACGTTTTTATGGGCTCGAGGCGTGCTGGAACTGTTTTACGTTTAATTTACGAGCCGGGACGTCTAATAATTGATTGGGGCGGTTGAGGCGCGTATTAACGACGTTTCGGACGCGCGGGTGAGACGTCGTCAGGTTTTATGCACGCCTGCAAACGTCGAGAAATTTACTTGAATTTTCGCTTTTTTTTTTAATTCATTTCAGAAAAGAAAACGTCTTTAACATCAAAATGTCAGCGGAAACATGTTTAACCATACTTTGAAAAAGCAATACGATATACAGGGTGTCGAAAAAGATTTCATCTAGTTTCTAAATTAAACGGGTTATTAAAAACAAAGTTTGGTTGATAAACGTGTCCAACATACCCTACTTCAGATGACACGCCTCTGTAATAGGGAAACCGAAGTAAACTTTTTTTTTTATTATTTCTCAACCGGTTTAGGATACCTAAATGAAATTTCTACCTCATAGATGTGTCCGAAACAACCATTATTGCCCAATAATTTATTCATTGTCTATAATTTATTAATTTAGTATGTGAAAAGCCCAAATCATTTTAAAAATGTCATTGAATCTACAGTCAAAATTTGGCAAATTGCTCCTTCCACATACATTATTCTGAAGAAAGCATTGTCGGACTTGTTTTTATTAACCAAAGTAACACTGTTTTCAAATCTTTTATTTACCTTACAAATTAGCGCAACGTTTTTTGAAATATCCTGTATAAAATGGACAACATAAAAAATGATGTTTTTGCAAGTCGCCGCTGGAACCAAAAATTTTGATAATATCGATACGTTTGGTTATACAGGAAAAGTCATTGTCTTATCAGCCAAGAAATTTTCCGAATAGTTCCCGGAAAGTAGCAATCAATGCAATTGCTTTTGGCTTTATTTTCGTTTTCTGCGAAGTGGCTACACTAAAAGGTCTAAACAAATCACATTCAAATTTTCACCAATCAACATTCAACTGTAAGTCATACGATTTATGTCCAAACCAATGTGATATATTTAATTACAGGGCGCAAGAGTAAAAACTCTTAAATAATAATAAATTTAAATTTAATTGTTTAAAAAAAAATGTTTGGTTAATAATAAACGTGTCTAAAAATGCCTGCTTTAGATGACACGCCTCTGTAATGGGAGAACCAAAATAATCTTTTTTTTATTTCTGAAACGATTTAGGATTCTTAAACAAAATTTAGTCTACAAATGTCTTTAACGGGACCGCAGGAGTTACAACATTCAAAAATTTAAGTCCTAAATAATTTACAATATTTTGACTTCGTAGATGTGTCCGAAGCAATCATTATTGCCTAATATTTAATCGTTTTGCCATTTTATTTATTTTTGATTTAAAAACATCATTAAAATAGAAATATGAGAGAAACATATTTACATATAACTTTGCTTTTTAGCATTGTATTGCCCTTGGAAATTAGAGCAACGTTTTTTGAAATACCCGGTATAAAATAGAAAAAATAAAAAACTTGTCTGTCAATGGTATTTATGGTTCTAATTTCTTTCTTTAATCCGACTCAGAAAAAGATACACCAATACATATATTATTCTGAAAGAGGTATTTTCCGCCCCATTTTTTTTCATCAAATTAACGCCATTTTTAAGTATTTTAATTAACACAACATTTTGGAATACTCTGTATAAAATAGACACAAAATAAATGAGGTTTTTGTCTGAAAAGCGCCACTGGAATCGGCAAAGGTGTAGAACAATCATAGCCAAATTTTCACCAATCAAAAGGCAACTGCAACTCATAAACTTGTGTTTAAAACCAATGTGTACCAATTGTAGAGCACAAGAGTAAAAATTCCGAAGTTTTCTTCTAAATTAGTTTATCGACTTTAAATATTGTTTATATTTAATGCCCTTTCATCTACATGGCTTGCTAATATGTATTCCTTGGACTCTGTAATAAATGAATAAATAAATAGACTAATAAACTTTATTGAAAAATTTACTAATCTCGAATACTTTACAAAAGTGACACGATATAGTCTGTTATGCGTGTGTTTCAAAAATGGTTCCTCTAGATTAAATACGATATTAAAATGTAACGTTCCTTTGGTTAATAAACGAATCCGAAAATGCCTACTTCAAATTACACGCCGCTATAGTAGGGGAACCCAATTAATCTTTTTTTATTTCTGAAGCAATTTAAGATACCTAAATGAAATTTAAGCTGCAAATGTCTTTGATTGGGTCGTAAAATTTACAATATTTCATAACTGTGTAAACGGCGTTTGAGTCACAAGTTTATTTGGCACGAGCGGGGCTCGGCGGAGCGAGTATTTAATTAACAAGTGACCTAAAAAGTTTTTCTACTCCCGTCCCTAAAATGGCTAATTAAACACCGATCTAGCTTGCGGGAAGCATCACTTCACCACGTCAGTTTCGTTTCCCATGGAAACGAGCCACTTCGGACATTTCCGGGATTTTACCACACGGGTTTGGGAGCAATCGGATGTTTTCGGAGACATTTTCCCACGCCTTGAATTTTGACGTTTGTTAATTCTGACGGTCATGTCAGTGAATTTAATCATGTTGTCTTGCCAAAATGTAGTCAAAAGCTAACGGTCGTAGATAAAGTATAGTATGCAACACGTTCGCTACACTTTTAAGGTCACTCGTTTATTAAACACTCGCTCCGCTCGTGTCAAATTAATTCGTGAGTTAAATACCGCTTACCGCGCTTGTTGCATAATATACTATTACCAAACGTGTTGCATACTATACTTTTTCTACTCCCGTGTGTAAAATAGCTAATTACACACCGCTTTAGCGTGCGGGTAGAGTCACTTTACCACGTCAGTTTCGTTTCCCACGGATCCGAGCCACTTTGGACTGTAATTAAAAAAATTAAAAGAAAAAGTATAAAAAAATATCGTATATTCTTAGATTGACGTAGGCTTCCGGGCATCTAAAATTAGTATGTTATGTATATTATATTATTATGTTTTATATTTTTTGCAAAATATCTCCGAAAACATCCGATTGCTCCCAAACTGGTGCGGTAAAATCCCGGAAATGTCCGAACTGGCTCGGATCCGTGGGAAACGAAATTGACGTGATAAAGTGACGCTTCCCGCGCGCTAGATCGGTGTGTAAATTAGGTATTTTACAGACGAAAGTAGAAAAACATTTTTACCGGCCTATATGTAACGATTTTGATCAGATTACAAATGAAATAAAAACATTGGTATCATTACATATCATATTTGCACAAATTTACACTTTTGTATAGTAAATAGCCCGTAAATAATTGTTCAAATTTTCGAAGTAAGTTTGTACCAAAAAAAATCAATGCCATTTTCGTTGTTTATAGGAGCCCGAGAGTGCCGCCATCCGAACCAAAATTCTCTCGTGCAACGACGACTTGCAATTTTGAGAACGTGCAAGGACAAAGGTCCATTTACCCCGACAGTCTCTTATGCTCTTTTGCAAGCGAGCCGTACTATAATTAATAACAACCATTCTTTTTGAAACCCAGTGATTTGGTGTCTCGATGCTTTTTTTATGTCACATCAAAAATTTTATTATCATTTATAGAACGAGCGCCGAACGAGATACTTAAGGCCTGTGTAAACATTACGGCCTTAAGGTATATACGGGTGTTTATCTTTCGCGGCCGTGGTTGCGGGGGGACCTGGTTTTCTTGGCCAGCGAAAACGACAATACCGAAAATTGACTTTTTTTTCATCGACCGCCGCGATTAAACCTACGGGGGAGTTCGGAAGAGTTGGTACAATCAACGTAAGGCCGCGAAACACTTAAGCAGGTTGCGAGCCAAATTTTAATGTGCAATATGCATTGTGATTTTAATGCAATTTATTAAAATAACAAAATAAAATGAGTTTCATAGGTACAGGGTGATTCGTGCAAGATGTCTTACCATTTAATAAGCACTACACTAATGAAAAAAGGTAATACAGAACGTGTTTGACCCTTAGTATATATTTTGTTTATAGTTTTTTTATGTGTTCCGTTGTACCAAGGGCAGTAACCAACTTTTTTTAATTGAATTCCATAAATACTTTAAAAGATTCTAAATATTCTTTTAATTTTGAGTGTTTTTTGTTATTATATAGTATATAGTATACAAACTTTTGAGTAGTTTTTGCGGAAAATCAGGTTTCTGGAAAAATTTGTTTTTTTTTTTACATTTGAAAAGTAAAAAAAAACTAATGATTAATATTTATTGCTTTGAATTAACTATGGCAAAAATATATTATACAGCGTCGTCACAAATGACCATCAACGAAATATTTCTTCTAATGAAAAAACTTTTTTTTTTTTCAATGGAACAATTTAATTCAATTCAATTCTGTATAATTTCATATATATAGCTTTTATTACAAAAATTGGTAGAAGTTATTGCTAATTTTCTGCAACAACTGTATTTTATTTTAAATTTAACGAAACCTATATAATATCCCAATCTAACCAAGTTTTTTTTAAA